CTGCCGTTTTTCTATTTCTTCTAAACCCAAATAGTTCTTCCGTCTTTTTTTCACTTCAGGCTTCGGAAAATTTAATAACGAAATAAACTGTACGTGATATTTGCGGATTTAAAAGAGTATTACCCCAAAAAACATAATACATGGGGAAACAAAAAACAAGAAAGGAAAGCGCATCGTGTTGGTTAACTCATTCATGCGACAGGTGATATGTTTCCAGGACTCTCTCGTCGCATCGTGTCGCGTCGTGTAGAATTAGTCTAGTCCGCTTAGCGGATAATTTATATTGCACGTGGAAATGCTTTCAGTAAATTAAAATTATATTTCCACTTAACGTGCGATACGCACCAGTTCGTTTTTGTGTCACGTAATGTGGCTTCGCTTATTCAAAAATTCCACCAAACAAAATTGTTTTTAACTACGGCTTTGCTATATCCGCCAACTTATTTAATATTAGTAGTCTGTTTTGAATTTCCGTATCGATTTATGGAAAAGAAAACAGTGAAACAGGACTGACGGAGTTTTAACAGCTTTTTCAAGTATTCTTGAAAGAGCAATAAGCAAAAGCGTAAAAAGTATTTTTGTGTTATTTTTTTTTTGACAGTTTTCTGCTTAAAAGGTTCTACTTCGAAAATATCAGTGTTAAACGAAAGCTTTATTCTGCATAAAAAATTCTTATGTTAATGCTTCATAATCATAAGGTCGTCAGACCTACGGCTGGTTGGATAGACACCTCCACTCTTTCCTATCCCACGCTAATTTTCGTATTTCCCTAAAACTATAACAACCCACATCCTTAACTGTTTGCGAACGGTAATCTAATCTAGGTTTACCTCTACCCCGCCTAACTCCCGTTTCTGCCTCTAATATGTCTCTTACTAGACCTTCATGTCTGAGAAGATGTCCTACTAGCACTGAGCGGCATGGCCTAGAGGTCTAGACCATTGCTTAGCATTCGGGAGGACGCCGGTTCGATTCCGGGTCAGTCCGTCTGCCTTGGTCCAAGTTTTTCTGTGGTTTCCTTGGACCACCTAGGCAAATGCTGGGGCAGTAATATTCCACAGATAATCTTTCACTCTCTTCTGTCTTCATTTCGTCCGTCTCATCTTTCTCACCCGAACCACCACTCACCCATTCCCATGATTCCTGAAAGCAGGCTGAAGAGGGCCTTCCGCCCTACCTTCCGGCATAGTCCGGAGGGACTGCCCGCCCACCAGCATTACTGCCTGGTGGGAATTAAACACCTAAAAGTTTTTTTTGTCCTACTAGCCTATTTCGCCTATTTCTTATTGACTTTCATAGAGCCCTCTACTCTCCTATTCTTTCTAATACCTCTTTATTTCTAACCTTCTTTATCCACGGTATATCTATATGACTCGCCTGTAACACCACATTTTGAACGCTTCTGACCTTTTCTTTTCCACCGCGGGCACTGTCTATGTTTCGCACCCTTACAGAGCCGCGCTCCAAATATACACCTTTAACAAGCTTTTTCGAATTTCTAAATTAACCGTTCGCGAGCAAGTGGCTTCTTTTTATTGAAGGCGGCTCGACCCTGCGTTATCTCTACTACTCTTTCCGTCTTGACTTATCTGACTTCCTAGATACCTAAAATAGGCCACTTGTTCTAATTTTTCTTTTCCCTACTTTTTCTTCCCTTGCTTACCAGTATTTATGTTTTACTTGTATTTATTTTCATGCAATACTGTTTCGTCAATACCACTTCCATTTTATTTAATGCTGTCTGTAACTCCACCTTGCTAGATCCTAATATTGCTATAATACTTAGTGAAATTAATTTGTATTACCGAGAAAACTAAATTATTTTCTATATTCCTGTTATTTCTTTAAAAAGAGGATAGAATATTATTAAAATATTTCTGGTTTTTAATTTATTAATTCCATTACGTAGTATAATTAAAGCATGCATGCAAAAAATACCTTTATGAGATTAGTGCAAAAGCTTATTGAGTATTTATTTTGTTTGCAAGTAAATAACTTTCATAAACTGAAGGTGATGGATGACGCTCACAACAAACAGATTTGTTTACATGTTGTTGTTGGAAATTCAAACATACCAATCGTAAATAGTGCTACCAGTATTCACGAATGTGATTTATATTATGAAGCTGTTGAACGCTTCTCAAGGATCATTGATATAGGCACAAACAAACATCTATAGAAAACCCTTTGCCAACGTGTTGGTCTCTGGGGATGTTTTTTCTTATTTTTAATGCATAAAATGCTAACATAATGAGCTCTACTTTCATGAATCTGTCTCCCGTATTTTATCATGTAGATACTCAATTTTCTTCTACCTTCCGAATCAGTTGGTAATAAAAATATTTGGATGATAATTTTATTGATTAACAAACAACGTTTCTGAACAAGAAAATTAATCCACAAATTGTTGTTTACGTGCTTCCCAGCCAGGTATTTCAATTACTATACCAATAGCTTACGTTCCATCCAATAATGGTTAACGTCAATCAAAAATATTCAATCAACCCCTACAACTACTTGATTATAGTAAGGAGAACAGAACATTGCAGCCGTGAATGAATATAAATGTGAAGCATTAGAAGATGTATATCGATTATCGACATGATGTCTCTATTGTTACAGAAGCATGTAAGTATATGAGTATATTGAAAATCTATACATACAGGGTGGCTTAGAAAGAACTACACAATTGATTACTACAATTTTTAGACATCTGAGAAAGATAATTAAACCACAATGCATTCATAAATTATAGTAATGTTGCAAATTGAATGCCAGTTTAACAAGGACTATTTCAGTGGTGTGTACGTACCATTGAAAAACTTTTTTATACAATATCGTAACCTCAACGTCCATTAAACTTGGTTATGTATTTCTAGATTTTTTTCGATCAAAGTCGAACGGTAAGCCCCTGGCGCGTCATGGCCTAAGGATTTAGAGCATTCCTTAGCATTCGGGAGGACTCCGGTTCAATTCCTGGTCCGTCTGCCTTGGCCCAAGTTTTTCTGTGGTTTCCTTGGACCACTTAGGCAAATGCTGAGGCAGTAATATTCCACAGATAATCTTTCATTCTCTTCTGTCTTCATTTCGTCTGTCTCATTTTTCACACCCGAACCACCACCCACCAATTCTCACGATTCCTGAAAGAAGGCTGAAGAGGGCCTTCCGCCCTACCGTATGGAGTAGTCCGGGTGATGTTTAATGCTTGCTTTCCATGCCCTAAATCCCACTATTTATGAACCACCCTCTATTATACATATTCCAGTGCTTTGGCATGCCTTGTGATAGATATATGTATGTAGACACACATTCTACCATTACATATCTACACATTGTGTGCATATATATCTTTAAGTATCCAAATACTACACTTATGTAAGTCTCTGAGTATATATCTACGTATATTTGAAATCAACGAACCACAGCAATTTACTGTAGGTAAATGTGCCTGCATAGTGTGTGTATTTAATGAATTGAGTTTATGGCCTTATCTCAGATGTTTACAAGCGAAAGGGGCATTTGTGTTTACCATCATAATTAATGGTAATCGCCATAGTAACTAGCGCAGCTGACAAAAGGGCAGATAGTTCGGTGCTCAATAGTTGAAATCCCTGTACAACCGCTTACCTTAGCTCGTGTTAATACAACGCTGTACGCGTGTATTAATATCAAAACAGGATTGAAAAGTATTTTCAGTTACATTTTCTATTTAAATTAGAAGCAGGGTTACAATATTTCATAATTCCCGATGAATACCTCCATATATGTATATTTCAATAACAGTAAATGCAACGCATTCAAAAAGATTTAAGTGAAGTTTTTTTGCTCAAAGTTGACCAGTGAAAACTGAGAAGACCGAAGTATACTAATGATAATAAATGTATACACTTTTACGGGGTGTTTCTGAAATAAGTAGCTACCTTGCAGGAGGTCATAAGGTGCTATATAACAAGAAAACTAAGTAAACATTTAGTGGTCCGAAAATCCACCGTTTTCAACCAACAATCAAGGACCAGTCCGGCCCTGGTAGGACCACGCAGAGAAATACCACATTGCAACGCTGCATTTCATTAGTTGCAGCATCCATATTCTACAAGTATTTGTTTTGTATTTAATATTCTTAATACCATGTCGATGTATATTTTAAATATCGTAGCACTGCATACTATCAGCGATGAACAAAGTAGTTACGTATTTAATTAATTGTTATCGCAATGGGTGTCTAGAGATTGTTATGTATAGTAAGTTGTTGATATTTACTTTATTAATCGTTCCACAACCGTCACCGTTTACATTTTTCATCAATGTAGTTGCTTAATTGTTACCGCAACTTCTCTATACGCTGCCAATGCACGACCAGGGCCGGCTTCGGATAGTAACTGCGTTTGGTTTTGCTTACAATTGGTTTTGTCTCTTAACCACGCTGTTTTACTCACCATGTGACTCACTGTTATATCTAGTTAACACTCTGCAATGCTTTAATAAACTTAATGTATATAAATATTTTTCAGTTTCATATTGGAAGATATTGATTTTTATTGCTAGATTAGTCCTGTTAATTTATATTAGGGGAAGAAGTACGAAGTTGTATTATGCCAAATATTCTGCAAAGCAGTAGCGACAGGCTCGAATAGGCAAATTCATGAGCAAGTAGAGGTCAATGTAACCTTAAAATGAGGTTGATGTTGTCTGACAATGTCTGCCTATTAACTTTATTGTCGCATAAGTTTTGATTGAAGGAGATAGGATCGCAAAACTTCTACGACCATGTTCGTCTTTGGTAGCCTCATATAATAATTTATCGTTTAATCAGAGGGGGAGTGTATTCATGCAAGTAAGGAAAAAAGATTTTATCGTAAATTGTAATGTTTACCTATGACGTAGTCTACCTATATATTCATTGTTAACAAACTTATACCAGAATCATAAAAATTGATTGTTAGGATTACTTACTACACACGGCGACGCATTGATCCTTTATGAGAATTAGGATTTCTTACCTTCCACAACGAAAGTTCCATCCTCTGTGGCTACTACAAGTTTGTTATCGTCCCAGGAGTCCGCGCAAATAATGGTTTGTTGCGGGAAAACGGGATAGAAGCAGTTTGGTTCCCAAGGCGATTTTCTAAGCAACGTGCTTCCCGTACCAGCAGATGCCAAACTAGTAGGAGCATCTCCTCGAACTATCGCTTCCAATTTAAGTGCTTGACCGATGCGGACAAATTCTATTTGTCGAGCATCTTCTTTCAATCGTGAGTGCTTTGGTGTTTCCGCCAAAACATCAGAGAAGGCTCGGCGATTTAACATCGTCTAAAATCAAAGAAACACAGTATTTGTTTGTGAATTTTTAATTGACAATCAAAAAACTATAATAATAATAATAATACAAAGTAAAGTAAGGACGTGAACCTCCAATTTTAAATTATTTTACGTAGTAGTAGTTTTATTGAGTAGGACCCTCTTTTAAGGTTCTTTAGTTCCTACATCTATATTTCTTCCTATTTGACCTATGTATAAGGCTTCACAATTTATACATTTACAGCCACTCTTAATGTCAGTATAATAAACATATAAACTTGATTCTGTCGAAAGAATACAGACCACTTCGAATTATTTTATTCGATTATGGTAACGTGCCTATCACGTTGAGGCTAGCTACGCCGGGATTCGTTTCAGCAAGTAGATATCCATATATTTAAAGGGACCTTGTTGGAGCATACGTAATCCTAAAATGTAGCAAAGTACTACAGTTGGCGTTTACCGAGCCATTTGTGGTATTTTCTAAAACGCGCTGTTAAGACAGCAGGTAAAAGTTGGTCTGTGTTCTGTAGGAGCTGTCTGCGAAGCGCTGATTAAATCCAAAAATCGCGATCCGCGTCTGGCAGTTTCGACAGAATACAGACCACTTCGAATTATTTTATTTAATGGATAGAATGTTTTGAATAATGTATTTCAGTACCCTACCAGTTGAAAATTAAGAAACTATACAGTAATACATTGTAAATTAAATTCTATGTTGTCTGCACTTTCTAAACTAGATTTCTTCCTCGACATGAAGGACAATAATACCGTCATAAAAGACCGGAGATACATAATGTCCCCAGTTTTCCCGAAAAGAGCAGTGATGTACACTTTGTAAGTTTGTACTGTTGGTAACGTTGTTTTGAAGAGAAAAGTTTTGTTTCCTTTTATTATTTTTCCTTTCGGATAACAAAGGCAGTTTAAGGGTAAGTTATGATCCTGCCACAAAAGTGACGTATAAGCATCTGCTGGCGTGACTTGTTCTCGTTAACAGTGTGTCTTTAACCCAACAAAGGCTTCGGGCAACGGTACTTTTTAAAAGTACAGCAGCAAAATGCTTTTGAAGTATTATATGACAAAAAGTGGAATAAGAGGTGAAGTTTGAAATAGGATATTACATTATACGTATCTAGGAAAGTTCCAAGTGACATTTTTATTCTCTTCAAAGGTGACGTCCTAATTAAAACTTGCGGATCTATGATTGGCTTTCCTAGACAAAAATTTTCAGTCTCTCTCCAGTCTCTCAGAGTCTTTCAGCGTCTCTGACAGCGTCTCTTACAGTCTTTCATAGTCTCTCAGTTATTGCCTAACTATTTTTATGGATCTCTCACAATCTCTGTATGAGAGACTCTAACGATAAAATTGTTAATTCAGAGATTCCAGTCTCTCACCGAGAGACTGAATGAATAAAACTGAAAAATTAAGAGACTCGAGTCTCTCGTAGAAAGACCGTGATCACTGAAATATGTTGAACTTAGAAAATTTTAACCATGTCTATCGGGACACCACTTATTGAGAGATTCGAGTCTCTCGTTCAGAGACTGGATACGAAATGAGGATCTCTTTATGAGCGACTCATCTCTCTCGTTCAGAGATGCTAAATAGTTTTTTTGAAAGTCTCTCTCAGCGACACCACAGAGACTCGATGATACACGGAGACTCGAGTCTCACTTTCAGAGACTCTGTGAGAGTGAACATTTTTATCTCGGGTTATCATATAAGTTTTGGAAACTGACTCAGGATAAAAAGAAGGAAAGCTATTCTTCTCTGCTCCTTCGAAGTAAAAACTTTGGTTAGATTCTTAAATTGTCATTTGAACAGTTCATCATCATCATAAGGTCGTCAGTCTTAAGACTGGTTGGACACGCACCTCCACCCTTTCCTATCCTGAGCTAACCTTAGCATTTCCCCAAAACTAGAAAAATCCACATCCATCCAGTCGTCTATCTCTACTCCTCCTAATCCCCTGTTTCTGCCTCTAATATGTCTCTGACTAGACCTTCATGCCTGAGAAGGTGTCATACCAACCTATCTCGCCTAGTTTTTATCGTCTTCCTTAGAGTCCTCTGTTCTCTTATTCTTTCTAATAACTCTTTAAAGGGTAAAAAGGACAAACCACTTCATGAAAATTCTATATTTTGGTTAAAAATAGACATTTATCCTTTGTTTCAAAAACCAAATTCTAAATCTCAACATAATGTAGGTGTATATTTTTCAAAATTTGATGTAATTTATTCATAATTACAAAGAGACGTAAAATTCTTTAATATCATATTAAACAAAAGAGTTAACAATTTAATTGATTAAAAAACTCTTTTAAAATTAACGAAGTTGATGACAGTGAAAAGCACTTACAGGGAAGAAAAGAAGAAGAAATATAGGAAAGAATAAGTTCGGGTTCTTTTTTAAAAGGATTTGCTTTAGCGTCGAATCCAATTTTAATCGCCAGTTAAAAAAAGTATTAATAGAAGAAAAATTACTCACAAAAAATGCGCAGAATTAGCAAGAAATTTTAGAATTTTATTTTGATTAATTGTTTAATGTCATTACGGGCCAAATGTTGTAACAATTTTGGTGGTTCATCTGTGTATATAAAATGATACACTGATTGATATATCAACGAAAAGCCCAAACGTCTGGGTCATGAGTCTTAAAATTTTGCAAGGATCCTTTAAAATTCACCCCCAATGGGGTAAAAAAGCGGTTGAAAGTTTGATGTATTGAACAAAGTATCCACTGTTCAAACCGCCGAGTCGGGAAGCTTGAAATTTTGTACAAAGCTTATTCATCATCCACTACGAAATGAGTTTTCAAAATACCATACTTAAAGGGGTGAAACGGACGTTTACAGTAATACATTTTAAAAAAAGAAAGAAAGAATGGGGAAAAATTAAAAAACTGGCTAGTTTTCGGTATTTAAGAAATCAGGGAACTCAGGATGGATGGAACAGTAGAGATATAGAAGAGATTAGGTCAGAGTAGAGTCGCTTTTACCAAAAGGAAGTGATTTCTATGATCAATTTGGAAATTCGAAAAAGAATGTTAAAGGTGTATGTTTGGAGCGCGGCCAGTGTTACCTGCGAATGATGAAGATACCGCGGATAGAGAGGTTAGAATGAAGAGGTATTAGAAATAATAGGAAAATAGAGGACTCTATGGAAGTCAATAAGGAATAGGCGAGATAGGTTGGCAGGACATCTTCCCAGGTATGAAGGTCTAGTCAGAGACATATTAGAGGCGGAAACGGGAGTTAGGAGTGGTAGAGGTAGACCTGGATTAGATTAGTTTTCGCAAGTAGTTAAGGATGTGGGATGTTCTACTTTTAGGGAAATACGAAGATTAGCTCAGGATAGGAAAGAGTGGAAGTGCGTGTCCAAACAGACTTAAGACTGACGACCTTATGACGATGAAGGATATGTAATGTTCTGGTTTTAAGGAAATGAGAAAATTAGATCAGGATTGGAAAGAGTGGAGGTTCGTGTCCAGCCAATGTTAGGACTGACGACTTTTTAATAACGATATTATAAAATTAAAAAAAAAGTGTCAAGGGTTATGTGCTTCGTACTAATGGTTTAGATTAGGTTATGGTGGGAATGGTTTCAAGTGCTACAGACTGTCGACGTTGATAAAATCTAAATTTGGACGAATTGCGACTAGTAGAGTATACTTTGATTGAGAAACAAGCTTAGATACACAACGGGTCTCTATACAAATTATGGTACATCCTTGTTGTTCCCTTTAACTCCTTTGTACATTTTAATAGATATTTTGTAAGTTACTGAAGATTCTGTCCAATGTTTTTGTAAATAACTTGTCAGAAACGTTAATTTTTACTGACAAAAATTTGAAGAAGTATAACTGTACACTTGATGTGGGATAACGATAGCATTTAGTATTTTGTACGTTAGCTACTAGAACGTCTCTTATAAGACCGTGCGGCATAGATACATTCACGAAACTAGGCCACTCGGAACTCATATTCGGAAGCAAAAAACCTCGAGTCGCTCTCACGTGCATAACGTTCCCTTTGTGAATCTTTCTGTATCGTGGAAAGTCGTAAAGAACCGTTTCCTCATGTCATAATATCAACATGAAAAATTCATACCGTCTTTGGTGATATCCCAAATTGCTACAGGTAACTACACACATTTCTTCTTTCACTCGTTTTCTACAATAACTATCGGCATACAAAGAAGAGAAAAATTGCTTCAATTTCTCATTTTCTCTATAACAGTGATAAGCTATGTTAGCTGAGAATCCGGCGGCTGCTGAATTGTAAATCGAACGGTGTTATTAGGAGTGTTAATTTAATTTAAATTTAACAAGTGGGAATAAATTGTTTAAATCCCTCGACAGGCTAACGGGTTATTTAACTTATTTTCTATTATTGTTGTACGATTTTTGATGTTTTTTCCCTATTTACAACATAATTCCGTTGACACCTCAAAACCACCCTAGATTTACAGCTTTCGAATAATAATATTATTTGTGCTTCCATCTGGCAACATTGATTATATACTATAATTATATAATCAGCGAACACAGATACAAATCACCTAAAATGGCTAGAAGTATGCCCCTTCCATTTCAAACTTTTAAATTCAATCATATTTATTTAGGTTTTACCAGCGGCTTCACTAGCGTTGGTGCGTTTTAAAGATCATCGACAACCACATAAAACAAATTATTGTATCCCTAAGGAACTGTATTTGTTTTCTGGACAAGAGGTACCCACGTATGCACTTTTTTGAAACCTTGACAACATACGTATGTACAAAATTTCATGGTAAGTTTTACCCGCTGCTTAGCTCGTGTTGATGTCCTGAATACGTGTCAATAATCATCGATGACCACACAAAACTAATGTTTTCTATCCCTCAGGAATAGGATTTGCTTTCTGAATAAAAGGTACCCTATGTCCTTTTATGCATCCCTGTACAAAATTTCATGGTAAGTTTTACCCGCTGCTTCGCTCGTGTTGATGTCCTGAATACGTGTCAATAATCATC